ATATGTGTGTAATATGTATGCATATATGTACATGTATACACATATATACATAGACAAATATCTGTAAGTCATCAGATTTTGATTCTAGCAAGAATTTAAAACTATAAAATGACAGGTAAAATTATTTTTCAGCAAGAATTGAACAAACATTTATTGAGGGCCTGTTTCCAACCACAGGGTCAAAATCAAAATCAGTGTCAGTTTAACTTTGTTGAGATAGACATTTTATTGGTATTGACTTTGGTTCAGACCTTTTTGTTAAAGCTATTACATGTTGTAAAAAATGCATAAATTTAAACTATGGAACTAATTCAAGAAATGTGTTATTTTCCATATGTCAGCAAGTATATGTGACGAAAAGTAAAATCCCTTTTTACAGTTATTGAAATAAAATGCCAACACAATTCATATTGTGTACATTGATGATGTACTTTCATTATAAATCTAAGTAAGGTAGTTAGTGTTTTTTTGAACTAGATTTTGATCAGTAAGGTCACCCTTAAAAGACTCTTCAGAATAGTATTGTTAGCACCTTAAATTATCTCTTGGTTCTATTTAAACTCCTTCTCCTGTGCTCCTAAGTACCAAAACATTGAAGGTTCCATATACTTTTAAATACATTAAAAACTAAGTATATTATTATTTAACTGTTTTTAATTCATCTCCAGCTTGAAACTAGGTGTCCTTCCTCCTCCTTTGCCATGGGTACCCTCTGACACTGCAGTTCAAACAAAATCACCCATCTCTAATAGGAACTGGCCAGAATCTGTCAGCTACTAGTTATGCTGTTTCTAACCTGCTGCCATGCTCTGCCAACCTTTGTCAGTCACTTTATTCAAATAACCTATGTTTGTAGCAGGACTACAATGCCCATGACAGTTTCCCTACAGAAACACAATAAGCTCAGGAAACAGAAATTCAAGGGAACTAATGAGTTTCCTCCCTGGTGGTGGCAAACGAAACTGGACTGACAGATACAGTCAATGGCTTCTTTCTTAGGAACCCTTTCCTCATGAGCCCTTTGTTTTAGAAGCAATGGAAAGTGGTTATCAGTTTAGAGGAGGCAGAGAGTAGTGTGTGCACTCAAGCCAGACTACCCGAGTTCAATTCTTGCTGGGCCACTCAGTTACATGTGACCTTAGGCAAGTCGGGTAATTTCTCTGGGTCTTGGTTTCTCCATTTGTAAAATGGAGATAATTATAGTCATATCTCATAGCACTGCTGTGAAAATTTAATGAGTTAACATTTGCACTTAGCAAGTACTTAGGGACACACTGTAGGAACTATAGATATATTAGCTAGTATTACTGTACCTCTGAAAAAGCAGCAATTTAAGAAGCTCTTGAAAACTTAAGTAATCTTTAAGAAGAAAAGTATTTCCTCTATTGTTAGGATCACCAAAACAACAGAGGTGGGGAGCAACCTTTAGGCAAGGCTGCATTTCAGGAACATTTTAACCAAAATGGAAACTCCAGGGGTCCTGGGCCGTGTTTTTTCAAAGACCAGAAGATCAACCTGTTCTTGGCCTGTGGTTTCTTCCCAGGAGGACCATAAATAAGGTCACAGTCATGGACTTTGAACGCTAAATCAGATAAGCTGACTTTTAACTTCTTCCACGTAGCCTCAAAAGCTATAGAAAACATTTATCAGTAATTTATTTTACAGACAACTGCCCACTTGGCAAACATTGTCTTTGGAATGAAAAATCAGATATTAAACATTTATTAAACTATGATTTTATTGTTAATTCTTTGAATTCAAAGAAAGATTATTACAGTCACTTCTGCGAGGTTTAGTTAATTTTTACTGCTTTCCATGTTATAAGTTCATTACTTATCTTAGGGCAGTTTCAAATTATTTCATGAATCTTGGTCTTTGTTTTTAATTTATGCAGTGGAGTTTATTTGTTCATTGGTGTGAGTAATTTTCAATATCTTGCCAAACAGCCTGTGGCAACTGAAAATACAAGCAGGATATATTAGACTTTTCTGTTTGAGCACAGGGCAACAAAAACAAACTATGCTGAAAACCCACCTTCATTGACTTGTAGGCACTTACATAAATAACTCAAAAATCTCTTTTTTCTGTAATTAAGAAAATAAATTTGACCTACATATTTGGGAAACAAGAAGTAGAGCAAAGCCTATCATGACTTCGATCATTTTTAATTTCATTGTATTGTTGTTTATGTTATCTCTCCAATCTGCCTAAATGCTTTATATATCATATAATTCAGCCCATCTTGTTCCAGAACTTACATATATTAGAAGCTTGATGGGGGGCCGGCCCAGTGGCGCAGCATTTAAGTTCGCATGTTCTACTTCTCGGCGGCCTGGGGTTCACTGGTTCGGATCCCAGGTGCGGACATGGCACCGCTTGGCACGCCATGCTGTGGAAGGCGTCCCACATATAAAGTAGAGGGAGATGGGCACAGATGTTAGCTCAGGGCCAGGCTTCCTCAGCAAAAAAGAGGAGGACTGGTAGTAGTTAGCTCAGGGCTAATCTTCCTCAAAAAAAAAAAAAAAAAAGAAGCTTGACCAATATTTGTAGACCAATTTTATTATTTTTATGTAGTCAGACTGTACTTTAAAGCCCAGCTCTATGAAGAAAATTCCCTTGAGTTTCATAGTGTTGTGAAAACCTCTCCCAGTAGCTCAGAACACTCTGTGGTGGCCACATGTTAAAAGGGTGCTGTCAGACATTGAGGCCTGCCAGTTCTGGGGACAAGTGGAGCCCACAGGCTGGGAAGCCTCAGCTAAGAACAACTTCCTCTGGTGCTCCTGGGCAGCCCCAGCGCACCAGGGATGTGATGATGTGTCCTCTGGCAGCAGCCATATCTGGCTCTTCTAGTTGGTGCTGAGTGTGGCCAGTGATGTGCCTTACTCTCTGGCCAGCTACTTCAGCCGAGAGCTGCAGGGCACACAGCACTGACAAGGAGGCTGAAGAAGGCATGGGAGGAGTTCACTTTACAGGAGTCCAAGAAGCTCTGCAGCAGTCTAAAGTTGGGGCTGGAGACACAGATCCACTTCTCCCTTCCTAATCTCTATATTCACATATGCATACGCTTTATCCCTTTTGTGGTTGCTATCTCTTTTGCAACAGAATCCAATCCAGCTGCTGGCTTGCTTTCACAACGCATGTTCATTCTGTAAACCAGAGCTTCAGCATATCGCTATGACTAAGTCTGACCGGATTTGAAACCATTGGCATTATCATGAGAAAATTCAACACGACATTGTCTTGGACAGAAAAAATGATTGCTTCATTTCTTTAAATATAATTTCCAGTGATGGTTACATTTTGAATGGTTGTAAAAAAGTGTTTTTACACTTTGATAGCTCACTTATTTTGTTTTGTCCATAGAGACTATCTAGAGCTCAACTTTTTCATAAAAATAGGAAGATTTTAAGAGGAACTTTATGCACATTTAATATTTAAATCACTTCTAATATCTTTCTATTTTATTTTTAACATATATGCTCTGAAAAGAAAACACAGTTAAATGTTTTACCAAGCTTAAGGGAGTCTTATCATTTTTCTGTGACATAATTGAAAATGAAACATCTTTCATTAGGGATTTGCAGCGATTCCCGTGTGTGCCAGGTTCTCCCCAGAGCTTCCAAAACTGAGCACGAGGCCTTTTCTGACTGTGTGGCATGGAGATCACTCAGCCTCAAAGAACTCAGTCCCTTCTTTCAACTGTAAAATACTACAATAACGTTTCACATGGTCCCATTTAATGTTTACACTCGACTACGCCCTAGACTGGAAAAGTGATCCGCAGACGGGTTTATTCCTTCAAGTTCACCCTCCGTGCCAATTGCCTGGGACAAAGCAGTCGCCCAGGTGTCTTCCTCCAATGTTTTTTCTAGTAAGACTTCAAGGCCTTCCTTCTTCTAGCCTGCGCGGCGAGCCAAGGGGCTGGTCTGAAGTAGCCTCCCATCCCGATTCAACACATTTTTCCCTTTCCCCTGGGCGACTTGGACACGCACCGCGCCTCGGTTCCCAGGCTTCGCTGGGGAAGCCGGCGTGTCAAGCTGGGAGCCGTGATCGCGGGGGGTGGACTCCGGGCCATCTCCTCGCGCCTCCTCTGCAGGAGGACCACCCTCCTGCTCCTGGACCACCCCCCGCTCGCCCTCCAGGTTCTGCGCCCCTGGGCGTCCCGACTGTGGCGGACACCTGCCGGGCGTCCCAGCCAAGGAGCAGGGAGCTGCGTGCGACACCTGGGGCAGTCACCAGGAGCCGCTGCCAGCCCGCCCCTCCCCCAGCCTCCGCTGGGGGTGTTTATCTTCGCCTCTGTTGCTCTTTCTCTTTCACTTTTCTTTTCGCTAGGGGTTGGGACTCCCCGGGTTCAGGGCGCCCGGGGGAACCCCAGCTGACTCGCTCGCTGCCGTCTATAGAAAAGCCGAGGCCCGGCAAAGGAGCCCGGCTGCGCTGCCTGCCGCCCCCGATTCTGCAGCCCGGAGTCCATGGAGGTACAGAGCTCGGCTTCTCCGCTTTGAGAGGGGAGGTGGTGGTGGTTGAAAGGGCGATGGAATTTTCCCCAAAGACTTCGTATCGGGCGCCTCCCAGCTCCGGCCGGATCCACCCGTTTCACCCGACCAGCTGCCGGTCCGGCCGCCCTGCCCACTTATGGGAAACACTTGCCAGCGACTTCAGTTTTCGGTTGCGCTAGCTGCAGAGGATTTTTCCCTTCCAACCCTTTATTCCTCTCGTGGGCTCTCCTCGCTATCCTCTGCTTCCAGAGGAGCACAGATTGCTCGTCCACCTGCCGGTCCCGCGCGGCTCCCCCGTGCGCTCCGCTCTTTCGCTGTCGCTGGTTGCGGGCGGGGGGCGGGCGCAGGCGGAGAGCGAGGAACCTGCGCATGGCTGCCCTCGCCGAGCTGCCGTTTCGGAAAAGACTCGGTCTGGCAGCACAGAGCGCTGAGTTCTGCACCTGATCGAGCTCAGAAAGGTCAAGAAGGTACTGCAGCTCCCCGCTTCTTCCCTGGCTCCTCCAAACTTCCTGCCTGCCAGTGCAAACGTGTGTGCGAGCTCGCGTGTCTGTGTTCAGTTTTGTTTGCAAAATCAAATTATTCTCTTCTTTGATCAGGACACTTGTCTTCCTAGGGAGAGGAATTTGCAGGAATGGTCACTGTTTGGCAATCAGGTCTGGGTCTCTTAGTTCCAACTCTGGACAAGCCACTTATCTCTTAGAAAAGCAGTATTAGAAACCTGGAAGAAATGCAGGAGATTGTAGCACAATAAAATCCTTATTCAAAGTGGCTTTAAATGAAAATCTAGTTAATTGCTTAAAGTGTTTTGAGACTGTGTGTTACCAGGGTCTTCAATTCATTTAAATTGTACTATGTAATTCGATGCATTTAAGATTTTGTTAACTTCAACATATGTATAAAGCAAGGTTGTTCTTAAATGATGCTTATAATAGATTCTTAAATAGGGTGAGTCAGGAGTTTCAAAACTGGAAGTAAAGTGGTTGTCATTAGCGATTTTCCATTACGTTTTTTAAAGCTCCTTTCTAATGTTATGACACAGCTAATGCCATCTACTTGTAACTGATAGGCATCCTCATCTTGCTAGTGTGCCTAAAGAGGCTTTATTGACTTGATTGAATAAACAGATCAAATCTGTATAGTTACAGCATGCTGCTGTGCAGAGCCTGCAAGGTGAACTATTCCACTGAAAGCATCAAGGTCCCATATAGCTTAAATTTTAAACTCCTGTCACTTTATTAAAAAGCGGTGTGGTCAGCATGGTAGACAGAGGGAAGAGGTACAGAGGAAAGCAACATAAAGATAGATAAGGGAAAGAACTGAAGACAGAGCAATAACCACTTTAGATTTAAAAAGTGATGAAAAATTTTACATTTTACTTAATAAAGTTAAGAAGTCTCAGAAAGTTCTGAAAGTTTGTTATGATTGTGTTTTAATGTCGCATCCTTACATTTCTCCCTCTCTTTTCTCCTCTCAAAGTTTTAGTTATACTCAGAGTGACTTTTCCTACAGTATCACCTACTCTGTGACAGAGTGACAGAGAGGGGTTTGATTGGCCGCTGGTCCAGAACCTCTGATAGGCAGAGTGTTCCCATGCTTTTGGATTCACTGCTCCCTGTTGATTTGGGCTGGGAACTCCAGAAGCTGATTTGAAGCTATAGTTCTCGAATTTGGAATTTTCCTGCAGATTACTGGTGGGTTTAAGAAAAGCAATTTGATGCTTTTTGTTTTAATCCATGAGATTAATATATAAATGTCAACAGCTATATCACAAGACAAAATATTTGTCAATGAAATGCATGTTTGTAAACTTCTTTGGAGGATAGGGGAAAACAGTGATTTAAAGTTTATTGAAGTAGAATTTGATAATTGAAGGATTTTAAGCCCTAGAATGTTCTGCAGCTCAGGTTTGCTGGCTCTGAGTGGGCTTGAGGAAGACTGTGAATGAAGCTCGGAAATGTTGTGTGTAAGTGGATTTTTCTGGAGAAAATATCAATAACTCTAATCAGTTTTTTTTTAAGTGACTCTTGGACCCAAAACAGTTTTTGAAACATTTTAAAACTTAGAGGGCTGTTCTTTTCTTCCTGTCACTCTTAGAGTTTACTGTTAAGTTTCATTCATTATGTAACTATTCTTTTGAAGGTTAGTTAATGATAATACAGAGAGTACTGTCTTTAGGCCCACAACTTGACTTATGGGAAATAATATGAATCATAGCTAACACTTGCTGAGTTCTCATTATGTGCTGGAGTTGTTCCGAGTATGTGTGTATTTTTAAAAATGGTCATAATAAACTTATATGGCGGTATGGACTATATTTTACAGCTGAGGAAAGAGAAGCATAGAGTAACTAAATAACTTCCTCAAAGTTACAGAGCTAAATAGTGGTAGAGCTGGGATTTGAACCCATTCAGGTTTAAGAGCACTGGTATTTATGAAAGATGCTACTATCTCCATAGAAATATTTCCTACAGTTTGACAGTGACAATCAACCACTCTTCATTTTGATGCTGAGTGTTATAATGCTAGAATGTTGGTCTTAAAGTATTGCTTATATGGTACTTGTGTGATTGACATTATTAGTTATATATTTAAAGATTATCTTTTTGATCAAATAATATTCACATGAGCGTCTATACGTATTTAGTTCCTTGGAGACATTTCTTTTGTGGTTCCCAAATGTAAACATTTGTCTAATTTGCATCAGATTTTGCAGATAGAGCTTGACAAGAATAGTAGACAAATGTGGATTGATCTATATGTCTGTATCCATTGATCTACATGTCTATCCAACCATCAAAGGAGAAGGCTGGGGTTTGTGGAGAGATCAAAGCAGAAGAATTTCCCATTATATCACAACTGAGGTGGTGCAGTAAATGATTGGGAAGTCCCCTTTTCAGAAAGATTTGTGGTATGAGGGTTGGCAAGAAACCAACTTATTTGTTTAGGTTAATATTAATTCTTAGATTTATTTACTTCGTGATTACAGATTACTGCATGAGACTTTTGAGGTTAACATTTCTTAAGTGCTTGCTGCTATCCTCTGTGGATAGATTGGATGGAAAAATTCCATAGGGGAGTTGAGAGAACATTTGTAGTTTTAGCCAGTACTGGAATGTATTCACTACTATTTAACAGTGAAATTTACCAATTAACTATTATCAATTATATATATTTATTACTTTATGTCAAAGAATGTTAGCATTTTTTTTAAGTTATTCAGTGCTGGAATCAGAAATAGGAAATAAGAGGTTCTTTGATCTCAGTTCAATTCAACAATGCTATCTGTATGCATTTTCTATCTGGAGGCAGGGTATGTGTATCATCTATTTTGCAGTGTTTTATCCTGCTCTGAGTCTAGGCTGTCTTGTAGGTCATTTTTAGAAGGCGGAGCACTGTATATCGACCACAGAAAAATGGATAAAAACGTCTGAATGCCTGTTAGCTGATCATCTTTGAACAATACATAGTTGTTTCTTCTCCAAATGCTAAGGTTCCTCCGAGGACGGACTGGACGTAGAGATGATCAAGAGAATAACAGAAAGTAGTTGTCAAGTAAAAGAATTGAAACTGAAAATGATCCTAAAAGAGAAAAATATAATGTTTGTAAGATTGAGTGGCGGGTGGGGGGAGCTCTGCTTATCACAGTGACACACGAAAGGAGCCCAGTGACACTTTCAATGATCCCCTGTATCATGTCATTTTCTTCGCTGGACATTTTGCTCATCTGCCTTCCAATAGAAATTTAAGAAATGGAATACCCCTCGAACACGGTCACCACTGACCTCAAAAGTGTTCAAATAATTACTCTTAAATTGAAAATTTTACAGTTAGAAATTTTAGAATGTATTTTTTCCAACTTTGTTGTTCTTACTCCTCAACAAAAAGAAATATATAAATTTAAATTTAATTTTTAAAATAATTTTATTGTTAAAAATTATTCTTTATGGTATTTTAAATATTAGTACACAATTAACCAAAATTAAAATTGTGTGTGTGTGTGTGTGTGAGGAAGAGTGATCCTAAGCTAACATCCATTGCCAATCTTCTTTTTCTTTTTGCTTGAGGAAGATTAGCCCTGAGCTAACATCTGTGCCAATCTTCCTCTACTTTTTTGTATGGGGTGCCTCCACAGCATGGTTGACAAGTGGAGGAGGTCTGCACCCAGAACTCAAACCTGTGAACCCGGGCCGCCAAAGCAGAATGTGAGCAACTTTAACCATTCAGTCATGGGGCTGGCCCCATAACTCATTTACTTTTCGTAAGTAATTATTAGGCATAAAACTAAACTGTATTGGAAATGTACGTCATAGACATAGATGTGGGTAGCATTGATATCAATATTTTCATAAAAGAAGGTTTTTTCCAATTGCACCTTTATTAGGCACCCTGGAGAGGCAAGCCACATGATAAGATTCTGGATGGGGGCATGATATATGCCTTTCTTTGGTAAAATGGGAGAAGGGTAATTATGAAAGGGGAAGTGGGAAAGGAGAACTTGCTAGAAATTTGCTTGCCTCAGGCATATTTCAGGCATATCACTTATAAAAAGAGCTTCCTAAGGAAATAGTGGATCTGGAAATTGGTTCCTTTAGAACTCTCTATGCCCATACAGACCTTGGAAAGTCGTGGGTTCCCCAGGGGTGCCTGTTCTTCACTTTGAAGATCTCTGATCTATTTCAACCTTACCACTCACCCCGTACCCTTGGTTTGTGGATTACCATGACACATTGTGCTTAAAACAAAGTGTGAATGGGGGGCTGGGGAAGGAGTTGGAAACAGTTAAGAACAAAGTCTGGCTGTTGCAGAGGCTTCCCACTGAGGACAGTGGGGATATTGGTTCCAGCCAGGCTTGGGGACTTGGATAGCCTTTGCAGCTAGTCTTCTCTTCCAGCCTCAGCTCTGGTCACACTTCCTCTGTGTCAAGAGCTTTTCCTTCTCATTCCTTGTTATCCTTCATGTATCCTGCTCAAAATGCCCACCTTCTATAACTTTTGCTGCCCTCCTCTACTGCCCAGGCAGAATTATTTTCTCCTTTATGTGAATTCATTTGGTGCAGTCTACATTCCCCTATAATAGCTTTTACCTGTGTAACTTTATCTTATTATGTGTCTGTCTCTACAGTTACATTTTGAATAAAAACATGACTATGTGTCGCGTGTATCCAGCCAATGGTTGGTCACATAGTTGACTTGTGCTGACTTCAATGAGAGTCAGTTACAGCATTCAGCAGTTTGACAGCTAAGCAGAGGAATGTAAAACAGGTAGGAAACATAAGTAATACAGCAAAAATAATGTTGGGATATTATAATAAAAACAGTATTTTGGAAAAGTTAGTCTGGGGTAGGATTTATTGAAGCAACAACAGATTAGAGGTAGGGGAACCAGCCAGAAGTCATTGCACCCATTCAAGTGTGTAGTCTCATTCCTATTGTCTACTCAAGGACATAGTCCTAGTAATTCCTTCTTTCTCGGCATCATCAATTTTTCTCCCTCTCTAATGAGTCTTTCCCATCACTATGCTGCCATGCTATAATTTTTCCCATTTAAAAAAAAAAAAATACCTCTCTTGACCTCATGTTTCTTTCCAGCTATGACCTGGCTTTTCTGTCCTCATTTTATAGGAAAACTTTCAGAGTCAACTATATTCTGTCTCCAATTTCTCTCTTCTCATTCTCTCTTGAACCAGCCAGGTTGTCATCCTCACTACCCCACTAAAAATGCACTTGTCAGAAGTACCAAGAACCCCCATGTTAAACTCAAGTGGTTAGTGCTTGCTTCTCTTCCTCTGTGCCCTTTTGAAAGGACCTGAGAGCTTTCAGCCCATCCTCCTCTCCTTAATTTCCTTTTACCTCACCAACACCTATTTCAATCTCTTTTGCTGGCTCCTTTTGTCCCTAACCTCTAAATACAGGAGACTGAGGGCTCAGTCTTTAGGTGTTTTCTCTGTCTGTACTCACTCCCTTTGTGATTTCATCCAGTCTCATGGCCTTTAATGCCTTCATATACTGATGATTCATCAATTCATATCTCTAATCATGACTCTCCTGGAATTCCAGACTCATATCCATCAATCTGTTCAACATCCTGATTGGATACTAGTGCTCATTGGTTTCCTGACTTAACGTCCAAAACTGCTTCTCCCACTTGATGCCAAGTCCATTCTTTTAGTTACATAGATAATCAATCAATCAATCAATCTTGGAGTTGTCCTGAACTTCTCTTTTTCTCACATCCCACATTTAATCTGCCATTAAATCTTTTAACTGTGCCATTAAAATATATCCCACATCTGACCTTTTCACTACTTTGAGTGCTGCCACCTGAGTCCAAGCCACTGCTGTCATGTCTCATGGTATTATTGCAAGAGTTGGTCTCCCCACTGCTACACTTTCCCCCTAATCCCCGCCAGTCTGTTCTCAGCACAGCATAGCTGCCAGAACGTTTCAGTTATCTGCCCTTCTTGCAGTAAACAAACAAACCCACAAAACAAAAAACACCCCAGAACCAAGTGGTTTAAAGAACAATATTTGTTTTTTGTTGTGATTCTGCAGTCTGGGTTACGCTCAGCTGGTTGGCTTCGCTTAGGCTGCTGGGGATGAAACATCCAAGGTTTCTTCCTTCATGTCTGGCCCCTCAGCTGGGCTGGCTGGAAAGTTATAGACGCCTTGTCTAGTTCTTTCTTTTTTTTTTC